CTCAACCGACTAAATTCCCAAATTGTTAGGAAATGAAAAAACCCCAGCTGTTAACGGTTCAATACCAACCTCAGCTCTGGTCTCACATTCCTATAAATTTCACAGTACAGTATAGAAACCACCAAGCACATCTAATGCCCTCCTTACTATACAGACGAACTCCCACAGCTCCTCTTCACATGCTCCCCCTTCCTGCCCATACTTAGTAAAAAAGTTTTCTAACAACCCTCTTGTTATACTGGGTGGAAAAAAAACCCAAAATATGTGTTTTCTTAGCTGAAAATTACTAACTTAGGTTAAAATACAGTATCTTGATTTAGCAGATGGAGATCCATTCTGGAATTTCCATTGGGTCTGTCTGAAGCAGCAAACCTGAGTTGCCTTGTCTTCATTGCTATTTTAACCTCCACTAGCAAGCCTGGGCCAACCCACCCACATTTAGCAACAACCTTTATTTGCAATATAAACAATACCCATGTCACAATGGATAAAGGGCAGATCTGTGAGATTTCATATGGGAAAAGATAACTGCTTTTGCCAGCCACTGTTTCCTAATAACCATGTCTTCTATTAATGTCCTAAACGAGGAGATGAGATATGTCTTGGGGGCGTCTAATGACTGACCAGAGAAAAGGAGCTGAAGGGAAGGTGGAGCCTGGTTATGTGTGCTCTCCACTCAGCAGGGAGGCCCCTGTGTGCTAGAGAGAGAGAGAGGCTCCACTTTCATCTACATGAAGAGACACCAGAAGTAAGAAGAGATAAGGGGTCTCCTAGAGAGAGCATTTAAGTCACAGACTGGGAGGGAGAGGACATCAGATGACGGAGAGGGTCAATGCAACGACTTGCTTCTCAAACACAGAGTGAACAATCTTGTGCTTAATTTAAATACAAGTGATGAGTTGTAAGAGTGGTGAAAATGGCAAATAAATTCTAGGAAATTGCATATAAAGAGGAATCGTTGTTATTAAATCATTTAGGATGGATGTGTTTCAAATCTAGCTCACAGTTGAAACGGTTTTACAGCTATAGCTGTGGAGTTTTAACAAAATTGCAGAATCGCAATGTATCTGCCAGGGATTTACTTTAAGGATTGTAGGGTAGTTACATGAATGAACCTCAATATACTCAACATGTTGTTGTGAACTGGACTTTTTCTGATTTCCACAGTAGTTATGTATGCAAGAACCAACAACATGTGTATTTGTGTGCACATATGCAAACACATGAGACAGAAATTACACACACACATGCAGGCTTATTCCCTAGCTCCACAGGCAGGCTTCCTACAGACTACTCCTACAGGACAACGATACTATTTGTTAACATTAGCATCATGGTATTTCTTTCCACTTCTCCCCAGAGATCTCTTGTTTCCTCTGATCTGCCTCCTGTCTGTATTAGAAAGGAAAGACTATACCACCCAGCACACTCCTGGTACTTGATCTCACTCCAAGCTTTGGGTGCTAATCCCACCACCTCTGTACTGCCTGTCTCTCCTCTTGGTGCATGTGTTTGTGCGTGTGTGTGTGTGTATGTATAGACATGAACATCTGCTAGTGACAACCCTACATTGGCTGCTTTCCCTGACCTGCTTTGTACAAGAAGGGAACAGGACTCTGGCCCATAGCTGGCTCCATAGCCCAGCTGCCAACATCAGCTCCCATTCTTTTTTCTCAATAAACTATATATTGCATTTCCACTTTAAACACATCTCTACATCAACTGTCAGTCTAGCAGTCCAAAGACCCTAGTTCCCAGGTGTTCCCCTTCTCCTCACTATGGGAGGACTTTCTCCACTGGAATTTGGCTACTGACGCACTGGGAGACAGAAAAAAAGATTCAAAATCTGGCTTTTTTTCTTGGCCTACTTCCAGCAGATAGCTGGACCATTTCAAAACATTCATCCCAAGCATGAACAATGAGCACTTCTGAAAATACTGGTTCTAAACTAGTGGAGATCAAACTTCTCAGGTAGCCTCAACGGTTTCAGAAATGCCTGTTGACACAGATATGGCTGTTAACTCCTCAGCTCTGGATGGTAGAGCATGTTCTAACACTCACTTGATGGCCTCAACAAGTCTCCTCGACTGCAGGGGTAAGTCACACAGCAGAATGCTCTTGTTGGACCATGGGAAGGACCTCATGCCTTTATGAACACAAAATTTATCACCATTTCTGTTTCTTGAAAGATCTCCAATTCATCAGTAATGTTTCGGTGGAATAATGGCCACAAACCCTAGTAGAAATTATAGAAATGGGTTTTGTTGTATTTATTTAGTGCATAAGTACAAGCTTTCTAATGAACAGAAAGTGAGGATGCACTGGCAGGACAGTGGGGAAAATGGAGGAAAGGATACTGAAAGCTTTGAGTACTGCTCTCCTCTCTGCTGTCTCACTCTCTGTCTCTCTCATACATTTGCCCTCTCTGCCTGTGGTTCCACTGTGGAAGCCATATGGCTTCCAACTCTCTTTTAAGTAGCCACTGAGAATTGACTATAGTGGAATACTGCCAAAGCCCTTCCTGGTTTAATGACATGGGGAAGAGCGCTGTGCGGTGCTCACCCAGCACAGAGACTCGCTGTGTCCTTGATTATGATCCTGGAGCCAGCAAGCGATGCTGGGAATTGAACCATCAGTGCCTCAAATACAGAAGTCGACATGTGCCAACCCCTGCTGCATTCAGCCTCTGTGTGTGGCATATTAATGAGACTTGAACTTGAGGTCCAACCTTCAAGCTTGCACAGAAGGAATTACCCAAAGACAAAAAAAAAGGTCCTCTTCATCCTGATTCCCTCTAACCTTGCATAGTGATATGAGTTTCTTCACCGAGTTTGTTCAGTCCTTAAGCAGCAACTTTTTTTTTTTTTTGGCCATCACATCATACTTCTGCATACATAACCACAATTTCCCTTGATTTAAAAATTTGAAAACATAGCTTGAAAAGAACAAACAGAACAAACACATTAAGCCAAGAGGGTATATAAGGGGACAGATGACTCTGTACTAGCCCTCATTCTCACACCCTATCCATAAATACCTGCTAAATGCTGGAGTCAGGATATGGAGCTAGATGGAGCTTTCTGCTGCCTGTTTTTATACCCCACTACACTAGATAGCAGGAACGTGTGGTTATCAGTGTGGTAACAGTCTCAGTCTAAATGGGAAAGAGGAGGGTGCTCAGTCCTGTAGCTGCATTCCCATACCAGCACAAAGAGCATTGCTGGGGACCCCCTCAATGCCATGGGTGTCAGAAAGGGAGCCCAATATCTGTGGAAGTTGGTGATGCACTGCAACCCCCAGCTGCATAACCAGTTTGGAATTGCCTGTTTTTATTCTACTTGAATTTCCTGATTTAGAGGAAAGCCATCTACTAGTCAGCTGGAACATTGGGACATTTGCAGCATGTCTTTTGGGCCTTGCAAATGCCTGGTGCATAGTGAGGGTTGGTCTCTTATTTTCTGCGAAACAATTTTTCTCCACTTGCACATTTGGCAGCAGGGGTACGATACAGATGAAAGAGCCCCTACAGAAGGATGGTCTCTTTCTTTGGAAAGGGTTGCACCTCTGGAGGGAAATTTGACAACCTATGAAAGCTGTGTCCTGCTGCAAATCTGTCCAAAAGTCAGAGAAAGGGACAGCTTGTAAAGGGTGAACAGAGCCAATGTAAAATGTAACACTCCAGGACAGCATGTTTCTCTGGTGGTAAGATGGAAGGACAACACACCATCGACCCCGAAACCACAGTCTACAGCCTTCCTAGGCAAAGATAAAAGATTTAATGAGCCTGTGAAAAAGTCATATAGTGAATTTTATTTCTGTTAAGAAATAAAACCAAATAAGCTATGGTGTTCATGAAATCATCTCACCTTTGAAGCGCTTTAGAAATTTAACTAATCAAAGCCCACAACAATCCTTGATGAAAGCCAACTGACAGCTCAGGAAGCTACGGAAGAAAGGTCACAAGATTTACCCACTCACAAAGGCTATACTGGACTTGCATTATTTGAGGGATCTGACCTAAGGCATCAAAGCCCAATTTGTTCTATGTCTCAGGTCTGCAAATTCACATCTTCCTTTCCATAAGTCAAAGGCGGTGTTCTTCAAATACACACACTTGGCCTATTTGACTCCCCAACTCACTCACTAATAGCCATGATACTAGAGCAGATAAAACATATGGTGGCAGTTGGTCACACAGAGTGACTGCAGTTCACGCATGCTATTGCTCAGAGCAACACTTTGTCAAATACCCCACCTCTTTCTCTAGTATATCACAAAATTGGCCGCAAATTCTTGCCAGAGAAAATACAGGATGGCAACGAAGCAAGAACAGATGAGTGCAGACCCGGACAGTGTTTTCACAGTACGAGAAAGAAGTGCTAGAAGCCTATGTGAACTATTCTGTTTCTTCCTTATCTTTTACTTAACAGAAATCAACAAAAAACTCCTATTAATTTTCATGGGAACGAACATCAAATCTATTCACTACCATTGTGCTAATTATTTCAGCAATCCTGAAATAAAGCAATATATAATAATTATTATCCAATACCAATACATCGTGCAGCAGCAGTGGACACACATTCCCTGAAGATCCAAGTAACTTGATTTTATCAGTGGTGAAGTTCTCAAAATCATAATGGCAAGTACTACTGTGATACCAAAACCAAGAAACATCATTCTTCTATGAATAAGCTGCTCAGGTTCCAAAATACCAACCAAAAACATGTTCTTTGTTAAGTATTTCAGAACACAGAGTAAGATTTACTTTTAAGCAAGGCAAGAGCTGTTTGAGTTAGCTGTGACTCAGAAAGTCACAGAAGTCTCTTAAGTCTACAATGAAAGTTGTTGATTGGGCTTTATCGGTCATGCCTGTTTCAGCTTATCCGGGTTGGGTACCAAACCGGGACCATTACATTTACAGCGTCTTGCACTTTCAGACAAAAACATGCAGTAACCAGCTTTACCATATTTAATAAAACAATAAACTTTGTGCTGACCTTTGGCAAGCGTTCAGGGTCACCAGGGTGCCGGGGGATAACCTTCTGTAACCTTTGGAAACCATAGTCAATGGTGGGTTCATTCAGAGCTGAAACAACAACAAACAACATCGTGATGTGACAAACGCATAGCAAGCAGTCTCCGTTGCACTGTAACAATTGGCAATGCATTGCAAGACCAAGGAAGGATCACAGCAAAATCCCCTTTTACTGAAATCAGCACTGACTGTGAAGTCAAACGTTATTTGAGGTTGGTTCTGAGGCTTTGGTTCAAACAGTAATGCAAAGCTTCCTACTCGAGTTCCTAAAACAAGGTTGCTGAAAAATTTGGGGTGTTGCATACATCTTCCAAATAGGAAGGAATTATTATCTCTGAAAGCCGTGATGAAATTAATTTCATAAATACTTTGCACCTCATGTTTCATGTTGTTTTTTTCCTGCTTTCATATTATGAGGAAGGCCCTTTGTGATTGGAAGACAAAAGAAGTAACTATTAAGGAGTCTCCCTTGTTCCAGATTCTATTATACATTTAATATGCTCCATGTGCAATGATCACATATAATTTTGTTGTGAACTACAGGCATTTGTCTTGGCAGAGGCTTTACATTTTACTCATCGACACTGACTTCAGCAGCCCAGTTCAGGCTCTGATCAGCACTAAACAGATCCAAAAGACTTAATGAATTAAAAAAAAAAAAATCATCTATGTTTTTAGTTCATCTTTCCCCAGTCCTTCTCCAATAAAATGGAGTAAAGAAATGGTAGAAGTGGAACACTTTAATCTTCACAAAAATGCTGGTCTGCCTGCATTAATCAAAGCTCAGATTGTGCCAAGCCTTTAAGCACATGCTTATCTGTAAGCACATACTTAAACCCATTTGCTTTCAGCAAAGCAAATTTGAGCACATTATGTTTTTTATACGATTGCCTATAATTACAGGGGACTGCACTAAATGACCTTCTAGCTATGTTTCCAGTCATATGATCACTTTAAAACTCAGATGTTAGTGAGACTTCAACATGTGCTTAAAATTTCCTAAGTGCTTTCGTGAACTGGAACAAGAGTCAAGCATTCTCAAGCATCTCTAAACAGCAGCGCATCTTGACTCTCCCATGCCAACAGAGATGACGAAATTTTCCACAGCAATTTGTTTGCAATTTTTTTGAGTTAAATGAAAAAAAAAAAAATCCAATATGGATTTTTATATTTTCAGCCTTTTTTTTTAGTGGGAAGGAAATCTAATTTTTTTTTTTTTTTCATTTTTGGGTCACTTTAAAGTTTTTCTTATTTTATCTTAGCTTATTAATAGCAAAAAAAAATTATTTCTTGCATGAGGTCTGCCTGCTAAATTATGAATATAACTTGCACATCTATGATGGTTTTACTATGAACTTTATTACGTGGCTAGAATGATGCCACCTGATTCTTGCAAAGAGATTTAGCATCAAACTCTACCTCCCAGTCTCACTTGTGTAAGCACTCTCAAATGGCTCAGTGATGCTTATCCCACAGCAAGTTACACAACTCCATCAGTCTGATTGATATGGCACAATTTGTCCACACTTCCACCTTTTAAGTGAAGAGAACATTTTTTCATACTCCTAACATTAAAGATCTTCAGCCAGACCACATTGTTACCATGTAAGTAATATCTAATCCCTGGCTTGTTTTTAATTAATTGGTGTTCCATAAACAATCCCACAAAACAGTCCAGTTTTTAAAGAAACTGTTCTGTTTAAATTATTATTTTCAAACCACATTTCTACAGCAGATGGTCCTACTGGCAACCAAAGCGTCAGATTTTTATATACTCCTGGACCTTCAGTACATCCCAACTCCATGAGCAGGCCCAGCAATGCTACTGCAAATGGAAGCAGAAGGAGGGTTGTGTACAGGAATTCAGATCTACCCAACAGCAGCGAAACAGGAGTGTGCGGCTGATGGGGCCTGGCTGGAGAGTCACACAGCCCAGCAGAATCGCAACATTTCTCTCATACCAGAAAGGAATCTTCTGAGCATATCCTGAAATTACTGTTACAGTATTACGGTAACACCAGACTAGAAATCTTTCAGGATTTCACTTTCTGGACTACTGCCAGAAGTTTTTTATTGCCCCAGAGATCATGGCATCCCTCTAGACTCCTTGGGTTTTTTCATCCATTTCCCTTTATCAGGAATATCTGAAATTGATCTTTTATTTATGTTCAGGTCACTGTATGAAAGGGTTGAGAATAAGGCTTTTCCCCTGCTTGTGCCCTTTTTGGGTTTTGGATGGTTGGGCCTTTTTTCCATGTTTTCTTTCACACCCTGTCCACATGCTGTCCACTCTGTTGTGTAGTTTTGCAGAAAATATCACAGTACCTGGATTTGTAAACCCCCGGTTTCATTACCTTTGAGTTTCCTTACATGGCTTCTTATCATAGACCTGTTTAGTTTAGACCTTCTTCAAATTTTAAAATAAATTAATTTACTGTTATTTATATTTATTATCAAAATAGCTGTTCTTTGAGAAGATTTAAAAAAACCCCTACAGTTCTAATTTACATTTCTTTTGCAAATATGTTAGAAGATTTTAGCATGGTTCTGTCAAATGTATTTCTTCTCTAATTCAGTCTAGTTTATGGCCATTTTCCCTTTACATCCTTTGGGAAAGTAGTTACTAAATTCTGCAATATTATAAATGGAGGCCAGTTCTGAAATACCCCCAGAGATAGAAGTAATTTTCTCATATCTTCCCACACATTCAACACATTTGAAATCCACAGAGTATTTCCTGTGAGTATTTTCTGAACTAAATGACCAAAAAAAATGTTAATTTTATGGTCCAATCTCACAAGGCATCAAGCATCCTCTGAGAGATACTGAAAACTTTCTGCTTCAAATAGCTTCAGCTTTACTTTAGTGGTGGGGAGAGGCTGCACACAGCAATTTGTAAGATTGGGTCCTAAACTGTAGTTGTCAAATATCACTCATTAGTCTATAACTGTTCAACCTTTTCAATCTTAGACAAAATGAAAAAAAAGAAATCTTTAGCTGCCTGAACATCTAACCACAGATGGGACAATATAAGCCCTCCATTTCTCAGTTCATTTATAATCCAAGTCAAATGTAATTAGTCACATCTCAAAGAAAGAGCCCTGTTTAAATATTTAACCCCACCTTCAGCGTTAAGGCCACACCAGTTCCTGTGTCAGTAGCTGGCAAAACTAAAAAGAAAAGGTAATTTTCTGATCTCCAAGCATTGCAGAAGAGCCAGTGCTCAGGCCACCCTTCGTGGCAGCTAACATACAAGGTCAGATACCAGTTTCATGCAAGGTTTTGCCTCTGTCCCCAGTAGGTGCGAGCCTGGTCTCTGCCTTTGAAGTCCATTCACAATAACTCATTTCCCAGTGCTCTAATGCAAAGAAATTTTTTTTTCCATGATTGGAAAAAAAGAATCAATAAGAAAGACAAACTCTCTATTTGTGTTCTTGACATCCATACATTAAAAACAAGCTAACACATACTGTACTTAAAATGCATTCCCATTACCCTAAATTTTAAAAGTACTATTGAAAGTACTACTAACTTTAAAAAACCGTATTAAATTCAAATAGGTCCCAAGGCTAATGGAAGCAATTTGTATACCAACCCAAACTGACTGGCCCACTTTTCAAAATACAGGTATGATAATCTTGTGGTTTTAAAAGGACATTTAAATTGAAAGACTGTGAATTTAGTACATAATTATACCGATAGAACCCTTTAACTTGTCAACTTGTAAATCTAAAAGGCTATCAATCATTTCTAAAGAGGAAATAAACCTTAAAATTCTTTGATTGACAGTGCTTACTTTTTATGTGAAAAAAAAGGAGTAAAGTGGCCAGAAATCCATTTACAAAAGTACATTGTTTTACATAGGTGAGTAAAAAGCCAATAATTACACCTCCAAAAGACATATAAATCAAAGTAAGTACTTTTCCCTCACTTACATATTTTAAGTTGCAGTAAACTTCAGGTAACTTTTTATTAAAATACTTTTCCAAATGCAAAGCTTATTGAAGCCATTAATAGAGTAGCATTTTCATTTAAGCTAATATAATCATTTTTGCAAATACAAGATTTAAGCCATTTTTCTCCTTCCAAACAATAAACTTTCAGCCTGTCTCTTGTGTGAATTAACTAAAATTACACCCAGGTGTACAAAATCTGTCTATCTATCCTAGTGTATGAGTTAAGGCACAATATTTATTATTCTTACCATTTTATGAATTACTTCTTAAACCCTTGAGGAAGAACTTTCTTTCAAATTAGACTGTAACAGAATAAGCCATGAAGCTCTTTATGCAGCAAGTCTAAAGCCATAACTCATAAAATCTAAGGCTTTTAATCAAGAAAATGCACAATGTCTATGGAAATAAGGATGCGTACATTATATTCATCTTTTCAAAGTCCAACTTATTTTTCAACAGAAATGCTGCTTCTGCCTCTGAGAAAAATGTTTCCACCATAACTATAATTTCAAATTCTGCACAAATAATTTTAATAACTACATGTAGCTAATCCACCATCTTTAAAAGTCTCTCTCTCTCTCTTTTTTTTTTAACTAGTCAGTGGAGGGCTTTTTTTAATATTTCACATAATGAATTCCTACTGTGTCAATAAAGCTTTGGTCGTTAATTGAATGACTGTCTGATGTATCTGAGAGAGGAATTTGTTTCTCTGGCCATGCTGCCAACTTACAGCAGAATGATCGACACTTAATATCTGCAATTAAAAGGACCTGTTCAAATATCATATGGAATTCGTAGCTTGGGGTAGTGCAGGAGAACTCTTCACCAAGGAAAACTCATTCAGTGAATGCAGAGGGTAATTGAATTAGACACATTTTAACATTATTATTCAAAGAAAAATAAACACACACTACATAGAAGCATTATGGAAATATTTCAAAACGTAAAACATATCCAGTTAATTTGTTTCCCATGCATTCATGGTTTCATTTATTCCTTTTATTTTATAGCCCTTGTTTCTTTTTCATTCTGTTTGACCCAAAACCAATGAGAAAGCAGCACTTAGACCTATGAACTTCCCATATGCTTTTCCAG